GGTACTTGTAAATGAAAGCTTTTCGTGAGATATGTTGTGTCCCCATAGATGTCATCATTACAATCTATGTATGAGGTCGTATCTCTCATGTATGTGTCTGATTTGCTAGAAAAACTGAATTACTGTGTCCCAAAATGATGCAAGTCTAAAAATGATGTCACCTCAATGTGGCCAAATCGTATATTCCTGCATGGCAGGATGTGGTTGGGTTGGACGGACCTTGGAGTCTCTTCTGATTCTATGATCTTTCAAGTTCTAGATGTCACTTCCATCAGCCCAGTTTCATTTAGCTGTAAACAAAGTGGAGACTTTGGGGAGGACAACCCTAAATTTACAGAAAATTGGGTTGTTGTAGGTTTTTCCGGGCTATATGGCCATGGTCTAGAGGCATTCTCTCCTGACGTTTCACCTGCATCTATGGCAAGCATCCTCAGAGGTAGTGAGGTCTGTTGGAACTAGGAAAATGGGTTTATATATCTGTGGAATGACCAGAGTGGGATAAAGGACTCTTGTCTGCTGGAGCTAGGTGTGAATGTTTCAACTGACCACCTTGATTAGCATTTAATGGCTTGGAAGTGCCTGGGGGGAATCTTTTGTTGAGAGTGATTTGATGTGCCTGATTGTTTACTTGCTGGATGCCTCCCCAAGTGAGTGTCGCCTTCCACTGTCGTGAAGGGTGAAGCCATAGCTTTGTTTCTTTGTGGTTAAATGATGATGTCTTACCCTAAATCAGGCACGAGCAAACTTTGGCCCTCCAGGTGTTTTGGACTGCAATTCCCACAATTCCTAACAGCCGGTAGGCTGCTAGGAATTGTGGGAGTTTCAGTCCAAAACACCTGGAGGGCCAAAGTTTGCCCATCCTCCCCTTCTAAGGATTTCCAAAACGCATTTGCATGTTTTTGAACTGCTAGGTTGGCAGACGCTGGGGCTAACATCGGGAGCTCACCCCATTGGTGGAATCACCAGTGCCATGGTCCCTTGCCTTGGAAACCCCGTCAAGCTTTGACTGAAAGCAGAAAGGAATATAGCAGGAGATGAAGAAGGAAAGGAAACTAGCTTCAAAGCTTGGAATGATAGTAGCTGGCATCTTGTTGGCGTTTTATGAACATGTAAGTTCATTACATGTATGTTTATATCCATATATTACATGGTTTAATATCCATAATTCAGAGTGGCATAGGTGGAGCTCTGAAAGTGCAACCGTTAGGCATGCAGTTGCACATTTTTGGATATTGCACGACTATGCACCAGTGCTTTTAGTAAACTACTTGATTAGCTGGAATTGCAGCAAGCGAATTTGCAGATATGTTAGTTTTCAGCAGAAGCAGGTTATAACAACACAACTTCAGGAATGTAGATTTACACCACATATGTTCTGTGTGATTTTGTAAACAGCTTAGCATCGTTAGCTGGCAAACCGTTGCTTTTCAAAAGGAAAGAGCAGCAAACAGCACACCTGTCCCATGCAAAACCTTGCAAGTCTGCACATTAGGCGTCCCATTCCATGCAAAAGCTTGCCACTCAGTCAAAAATAATTAATTCCCAATGCATGCAAACCCATTCCAATCTGCAAACCCAAGCAAAACCCCATAAACAAGACTTCTTGCCCCATGCAAAACCTCTCTAGGCTGCAAACAAGAGCTTATTTTGCCTCAAAGCTTTCAAACAGCTCTTTTATCTCTCTCTGATTGGAGATAAAGGCAGAAACATAAGGAAATAATGGGTCAAAACTTGTTTGTTTTGCAAGAAATGGAACAACTGGGTGAGAGAAATGTCTCTTTTTGGCCCTGTATTTTTTAAAATATCAGTGAACACTACTGGGGGGCGGGGGCGGGTATAGGACATAAAAGGATGATGGTCAGACTGGTCAGTGTTCATCCATCATACAGTTTGGGTCTGGGACCTTTGCACAGATCTATTGTGACCTTTGCACAGGTAAAATACCAGAATAGCTTCAACTACTCATTCCTTCATCCTTTAAAGCAGGTATGGGCAAACCCAGGGCTGGATGTGGCCCCTTGGGCTCTTTTCTCGGGCCTTCCTCTCTCTCAACATACTATCCTTCCTTCCCTCTTTCTTTTCTCCTTCCCTTCCTTAACTCCCTCTTTCTCCCTCTGTCCTTTCTTCCTTTCCATGCTTTCCTTCCTTCCCTTTTGTCTTTCTTTCCTTCTCCCTTCTTTTCCTCTTTCTTCCTCCATTTCCTTCCTCCTTTTCATCCTTCCTTTCATCCAATCTTCTTCCCTTTCTTCCTTCTCTTTTTTCTTCCTTCCATCCTCCCTTCCCTTTCCCTTTCCTCCTCTCTTTTCCTCCCTCCTTCCTTCTAGCATTCCTCCCTCCCTCTTTCTCCCTCTCTCCACTCCCTTTCATCATCCCTTCCCTCTTTCCTCCTTCTTTCTCTGTCTTTCTTTCCTTCTATCTTTCATCCCTCCCTCTTTCTCCCTCTCTCCACTCCCACCCTTTCATCCTCCCTTCCTCTTTCCTCCTTCTTTCTCTGTCTTTCTTTCCTTCTATCTTTCATCCCTCCCTCTTTCTCCCTCTCTCCACTCCCTTCCACCATTTCATCCTCCCTTTCCTCTTTCCTCCTTCTTTCTCTGTCTTTCTTTCCTTCTATCTTTCATCCCTCCCTCTTTCTCCCTCTCACCACTCCCACCTTCATCCTCCCTTCCCTCTTTCCTCCTTCTTTCTCATTCTTTCCCTGTCTTTCTTTCCTTCTATCTTTCATCCCTCCCTCTTTCTCCCTCTCTCCACTCCCTTCCACCATTTCATCCTCCCTTTCCTCTTTCCTCCTTCTTTCTCTGTCTTTCTTTCCTTCTATCTTTCATCCCTCCCTCTTTCTCCCTCTCACCACTCCCTTCCACCATTTCATCCTCCCTTCTTTCTCATTCTTTCCCTGTCTTTCCTTCTATCTTTCATCCCTCTCTCCACTCCCTTCCACCATTTCATCCTCCCTTCTTTCTCATTCTTTCCCTGTCTTTCCTTCTATCTTTCACCCCTCCCTCTTTCTCTCTCTCTCCACTCTCTTCCACCATTTCATCCTCCCTTACCTCTTTCCTCCTTCTTTCTAATTTTTTTCCTGTCTTTCCTTCCTTCTATCTTTCATCCCTCCCTCTTTCCCCCTCTCCACTCCCTTCCACCCTTTCATCCTCCCTTCTTTCTCATTCTTTCCCTGTCTTTCCTTCTATCTTTCATCCCTCCCTCTTTCTCCTCTCTCCACTCCCTTCCACCCTTTCATCCTCCCTTCTTTCTCATTCTTTCCCTGTCTTTCCTTCTATCTTTCATCCCTCCCTCTTTCTCCTCTCTCCACTCCCTTCCACCATTTCATCCTCCCTTTCCTCTTTCCTCCTTCTTTCTCTGTCTTTCTTTCCTTCTATCTTTCATCCCTCCCTCTTTCTCCCTCTCACCACTCCCTTCCACCATTTCATCCTCCCTTCTTTCTCATTCTTTCCCTGTCTTTCCTTCTATCTTTCATCCCTCTCTCCACTCCCTTCCACCATTTCATCCTCCCTTCTTTCTCATTCTTTCCCTGTCTTTCCTTCTATCTTTCACCCCTCCCTCTTTCTCTCTCTCTCCACTCTCTTCCACCATTTCATCCTCCCTTACCTCTTTCCTCCTTCTTTCTAATTTTTTTCCTGTCTTTCCTTCCTTCTATCTTTCATCCCTCCCTCTTTCTCCCTCTCTCCACTCCCTTCCACCCTTCCATCATCCCTTCCCTCTTTCCTCCTTCTTTCTCTGTCTTTCTTTCCTTCTATCTTTCATCCCTCCCTCTTTCTCCCTCTCACCACTCCCTTCCACCATTTCATCCTCCCTTCTTTCTCATTCTTTCCCTGTCTTTCCTTCTATCTTTCATCCCTCTCTCCACTCCCTTCCACCATTTCATCCTCCCTTCTTTCTCATTCTTTCCCTGTCTTTCCTTCTATCTTTCACCCCTCCCTCTTTCTCTCTCTCTCCACTCTCTTCCACCATTTCATCCTCCCTTACCTCTTTCCTCCTTCTTTCTAATTTTTTTCCTGTCTTTCCTTCCTTCTATCTTTCATCCCTCCCTCTTTCTCCCTCTCTCCACTCCCTTCCACCCTTCCATCATCCCTTCCCTCTTTCCTCCTTCTTTCTCTGTCTTTCTTTCCTTCTATCTTTAATCCCTCCCTCTTTCTCCCTCTCTCCACTCCCTTCCATTATTTCATCCTCCCTTCCCTCTTTCCTACTTGTTTCTCATTTTTTCCCTTTCTTTCCCCTTCTTTCCTTCCTTCTATCTTTCATCCGTCCCTCTTTCTCCCTCTCTCCACTCCCTTCCACCCTTCTTCCTTCACTCTTTCCTTCCCCACCTACCCTTCCTTCCTTCCTTCCTTCCTTCCTCTTTTGTCTTTTTCCTTCTCTTTCCTGCCTCCTTCCTCTCTTTCCCCCTCTTTCTTCTTCCTCCTTTCCTCCCTCCCTCCCTTCTCTTTTTCCTTCCTTCCACCCTTTCATCCTCACTTCACTCTTGTTTTTCCTTCCCTCCCTCCTTCCCTCCCTCCCTCTTTTTTCTTCCATCACTCTCTACCTCCCTTTTGTCTTTTCTTCCTTCACTCTTTCCTTCCTCCTTCCCTTCCTTCCTTCCTTCCATCACTGGGCAGTCAGTCCTCTTAGCAGGGAATGCTAGCATACGGCCCTCAAATTAGAAAGTTTGCCCATGCCTGCTTTAAGGTGATGAATAAGTCATGAAGGTGGGGACTTTCCATATATAACGTTGGCCAACAGCTTCCATGCAAAGGGAGTGGTGAAGCCACTTCAGGATGTGAGGAACTGTCCGTGGTGCTGAGCCTTGTTAACAAAAAAAGGTTCAGCACCTTGGAAAGCTCCTTTGCAGCCTGCATTAAGACCTGGAGTAGGTTCACCACCCTACTGACATTCTGGAAGGGGACAATGGAAGGATAAAGGAAGTGGGCGACCATATGTTTCCCTCCTGAACCTGGAACATCAATGTATTCTCCCACTTGGAAACAAGACAGGATAACAGTTTTATTTACTTGAATGAGCTGGTTCAAGCCTAAAATCCCGGCTGCGACCCGGCAGCTCCTAGTTTCTCAAATGTTCCCCGTTCATTCAAAGGCCTGGTTATTGGTGCTGGAAAAACAGGAATGGAAGAAGATAGGTTAAAACAAAATCCCCCTCATTTGGAAGTCATTTAAAATATAGTTCTTTTTCATTGCATTTTGTCATTTTTTAACACATTGCAGCCACAACATTCATCTGAAAACAAGATGGCTCTTCCCCAGTTATTCACCAAACAACGCGCCTTCTGGAAGGATGCAAACAAGGCAGAACATTCCCCAACGTGTGCTTTTCAAATGTACTGGACCGCAACTCCCATATTCCTTTAGCGAAGCCATACTGACTGTGGAGTGATGGGGGTTGTAGTTAAACACAACTTTCCTCCCTCCTTCCCCCCTCTTTCTCCTTCCTTCCTTCTTGTCTTTCCTTCCTTCCCTCTCTTTCTCCTTCCTTCCATCTTTCCTTCCTTCCCTTTTTCCTCCCTCCTCTTTCTCCTTCCTTCCTTCCTTTTTGTCTTTTCTTCCTTCCCTCTTTCCTCCCTTCTTTCTTCTCTCTCTCTCTCTCTCTTTTTTTTTCCCCTTCCATCCTTCTTTTTTCCTTCTCTTTTTCCTTCCTCCTTTCCTCCTGGAGAATGTTTAGCTGGGAAAAGAGACGCTAGAGAGGGAACATGAGAACCATGTTTCAAGATCTCAAAGGGTGTCCCATTGAGGAGGAGGAGGGAGAAGGGGAAAATGACTTTCTCCTGCTCCAGAGAGCAGGGCACAAGATAGCAATGTGCTCAAATGGTAGGGAAAGATATTAGACTGACATGATTAGGAAGAACTTCCTGAGAGTAAGAGCTGTTGGAGAGTGGCATAGGCTGCCTTGAAGTGTGGTGGAGTCTCTCTGTTGGGAGTGCTTTCTGTTGGAAGTGCTTTGATTGTGCCTTCCTGCATGGAAGGGGGTTAGACTGGATGGCCCTTGGGGTCTCTTCCAGCTCTAGGATTCTATCTCAGGAGTAGACAATACGGGGTCTCATGGATACACTTTTTCTCTCCTGTCCACCATCTCATCCTGACCAAGGCCACTCCTTTTGGGATCCAAACATTTCCTGTCTTTCCTTCACTTTCTGCCTCCGAAAAAGAAGAGGAAGGGGAGGAAAGGACAGGGGGGAGGACTTGGGAGAACCCCCTCTCCTCCTCCCACCCCGCCCCCCCTGCTCCGGCCTGCCATGTGGTCCCCAAGTTAGAAAGTTTGCTCATGCCTGCCTTAAAGGCACCGGATACTATCTGATCTTGGATGCTAAACAGGGTCAGCCTTGGCTACTACTTGAATGGGAGATTACTGACAAATCCTAGTTTTAATATACATATTTCATGGAAAGACATTTAAATATATGTATGTAGGATGATGTGTTTTTAACTATGTTGTGCCCTGTCTTGAGTCACGAGGAGAAGAAGCAAAGACCACCAGCATTGAAGCGATGGTCCTCTGCCATCAACTCCGCTGGGCCGGCCACGTTGTCCGGATGCCTGACCACCAGTCTCCCAAAGCAGTTGCTCTACTCTGAACTTAAGAACGGAAAACGGAATGTTGGTGGACAGGAAAAGAGATTTAAAGATGGGCTCAAAGCCAACCTTAAAAACTCTGGCATAGACACTGAGAACTGGGAAGCCCTGGCCCTTGAGCGCTCCAGCTGGAGGTCAGCTGTGACCAGCAGTGCTGCAGAATTCGAGGAGGCACGAGTGGAGGGTGAAAGAGAGAAACGTGCCAGGAGGAAGGCGCGTCAAGCCAACCCCGACCAGGACCGCCTTCCACCTGGAAACCAATGCCTTCACAGTGGGAGAAGATGCGGGTGAAGAATAGGGCTCCACAGCCCCTACGAATCCACAAGGAAACCCATCATGGAAACCATCTTACTCGTCCAACGAGGGATCACCTAAGTAAGTAAGTAAGTAAGTAAGCCCTGTCTCGAGTCATGATGAGAGTCAGGTATGAAACTATTATTATTTCAGAAGAAGACATTGGCAAAACCTCCTCGGGAGAGTTCCTTGCCTAAGAAAATCCAATGAAATTAATGAGGTTGCCATAAGTCAACAGCAGCTTCAATGCAGATAAACCGAGGGATTTAGCAGCACCAGAAGACAAACATTTATTGCAGAGCATTTTGCTTTCTCTAAAAAATGTGCAGTCAAATTGTCTGGATTCTATTCCGACTCTTAAATCCCGAACGATAAAATATTGCTTTCCGAATCACAGTTTGAGCGGAACAGATTCGATGTGGCACTTTCCAGCCGGCTCTCGCAGGGGAGAGATAGAAAGTTTTCCATCTTTATTATGAGCCTCATCCGGAATGCGCTTGTTATGTTTGGCTGAACGTCGGAAGGATTTAGCCCACAAAACTTAACTAAGCCAACAGTCAATATTTAACCAGCTCCTCCCTCGCCGCTCCGAAGGTATTTGATTTCCTCAGCTGAAAACCTGCATTAAGCGATTCCGGGCACCCACCACCAAAGAAACACAAAGAAAACTTTTCCATCATTGGAACCGGTCCGGTTTTCTGTTTCCAGGGAGCTGAGTCGGAGTTATTTGTTTGTCTAGTTCGCCCCTTCCCCATTCAAACAACTTTGAAAAGAATCCCTGTTTCAGCAGGATTATAATAAAGGGAGACCTCCTTTGCAATATATATTTTTCTACAAAGAGCACTACAAACTTTGATAATGGTCTCAATCACCTGAGGCAAACATCAAGTCCTACTCCAGAAGTTCTGGAATCAAAACTATCAGTAGCAATTGGCTAGAGTAACAAACATGCATTGCTCAAAGTGAGGATTTCAGTAACTGTTTTGATAAGGTCTCACGTGAGATTATCAAAAGGAATGTGGGCTAAACAATGCCAATGTTGGGTGGCTTGGGAATGGGTTGACAGGCCAACCCCAAAGGATGCCTCTGTCCAATGGTTTCTCCTCTTCCTCCTGGAGAGAAGTGACCAATGGAGTGTCATAGGAGGACTCTATCATAAGGAATATGGGTTAGACAGTGACAATGTTAGGTGGATTGGGAACAAGTTGACAGGCCAATTCCAAAGGGTACTTCTGTCCAATGGTTTCTCCTCTTCCTCCTGGAGAGAAGTGACCAATGGAGTGTCATAGGAGGACTCTATCATAAGGAATATGGGTTAGACAATGACAATGTTGGGTGGATTGGGAATAAGTTGGCAGGTCAACTCCAAAGGGTACTTCTGTCGAATGGTTTCTCCCCTTCTTCCTGGAGAGAAGTGACCAATGCAGTGCCATAGGAGGACTCTATCATAAAGAATATTGGGTAGACAATGCTAATGTTGGGTGGATTGGTAACGGGTTGACAGGCCAACCCCAAAGGGTGCTTCAGTCCAATGATTTCTCCTCTTCCTCCTGGAAAGAAGTGACCAATGGAGTGTCATACCGGTAGGAAGACTCTTATTATAAGAAATATGGGCTAGACAATGCTATTGTTGGGTGGATTGGGAATGGGTTGACTCTATCATAAGGAATATGGGCAAGACAATGACAATGTTGAGTAGATTGGGAATAGGTTGGCAGCCCAACCCCAAAGGATGATTCTGTCCAATGGTTTCTCCTCTTCCTCCTGGAAAGAAATGACCAATGGAGTGTCATACCGGTAGGAAGACTCTTATTATAAGGAATATGGGCTAGACAATGCCAATGTTGGGTGAATTGGGAACGGGTTGACAGCCCAACCCCAAAGGATGCTTCTGTCCAATGATTTCTCCTCTTCCTTCTGGAAAGAAATACCAATGTAGTGCCATACCGGTAGGAAGACTCTTATCATAAGGAATATGGGTTAGACAATGCTAATGTTGGGTGGATTGGGAATGGGTTGACTCTATCATAAGGAATATGGGCTAGACAATGCCAATGTTGGGTGGATTGGGAACAAGTTGACAGGCCAACTCCAAAAGGTGCTTCTGTTCAATGGTTTCTCTTCCTCCTCCTGGAGAGAAGTGACCAATGGAGTGCCAAAGGAGGACGCTTATCTTAAGGAATATGGGCTAGACAATGCTAATATTGGATGGATTGGGAAGGGGTTGACAGACCAACCCCAAAGGGTGCTTCTGGCCAATGGTTTCTCCCCTTCCTCCTAGAGAGAGATGACCAGTGGAGTGCCATAAGAGGACTCTATCATAAGAAATATGGGCTAGACAATGCTAATGTTGGTTGGATTGAGAACGGGTTGACAGGCCAACTCCAAAGGGTGTTTCTGTCCAATGGTTTCTCCTCTTCCTCCTCGAGAGATGTGACCAATGGAGTGCCATAGGATGCTTATCATAAGGAATATGGACTAGACAATGCTAATATTGGATGGATTGGGAAGGGGTTGACAGACCAACCCCAAAGGGTGCTTTTGTCCAATGGTTTATCCCCTTCCTACTAGAGAGAGTTGACCAGTGGAGTGCCATAAGAGGACTCTATCATAAGGAATATGGGCTAGACAATGCTAATGCTTGGTGGCTTGGGAACAAGTTGACAGACCAACCTCAAAGGGTGCTTCTGTCCAATGGTTTCTCCTCTTCCTCCTTGAGAGAAGTGACCAATGGAGGGCCATAGGAGGACTCTATCCAGGGCCAAAAGCTATTTGACATCTTTATCAATGACTTGGATAACAGAATAGAAAGCATGCTGATCCATTTTGCAGGTGACACCAAACTAGGAGGGATAGCGCATATGCCAGAGAACAGGCTCAGGATCCAAAATGACATTAACAGGTTGGAGACCTGGGCACAGAGTAACAGAATGAATTTCAACAGGAGAAATGTATGGCACTACACTTTGGTGATAAATACGAGATGCACAGATATAGGATGGGAGAGACCTGGCATGGAAACCATCCATGGGAAAGAGATCTAGGAGGCTTAGAAGACCAAAAGGTGAACATGAGCCAAGAGTCTGATGCGGCAGCTTAAAAAAGCCAACGTGATTCTAGGATGCATCAATAGGAACCTAACGTCCAGATCAAGTGAAGTTAACACTAACAGTCCCCGAGTTACAAACATCTGACTTGCAAATGATTCACAATTAAGAACAGAGTGGGACA